AACGGGATCGCAACCCTCGGTGTTGCTCCCGCGCCTCGCTCAACCAGTGAGCGGGAACCGGCCTGTATGTGGGATCTGAACCTTCGGCGGGAGCGCTGCCGCGCTTCCCAAGCGGCGCACTATAGCAGTGCGCCACCAGCCGGCCCCTTGCTATCACTTTTTAAAGCCCCAAGATGATTCGAATGTGAGTCAAGGGTGAGAACCATCTGAGCACCTTGGAATCACCTGGAGGGTATATTAAACATGTTGCTGGGCCTCTCTCTTAGCTTCCTGTTTAGAAAGTCTGGGGTGGGGCCGAGTAATTTGCATTTCTAATAAATTACCAGGTGATGCACTTGCCGTTGGTCGGTTTTGGTCTTCATCTAGAGACCTTTCTTTGAGAACCACTGGATTAGTTGACCTCTGAGGTTCCTCCCATGTCCTGCCTCTGTGAGTGGGTGTGTAAGCCAAGGTGGTTCTCCTTGGATGGTGCGGTGGTTCCAGATCTGGTCCTGTGCTTGCTTCCTTGCTTGTCCTGCAAGCAGCACATTCTGGAGGTTGGAGAAACTGCTTCCTTAGGTCCGTAGCATTTTCAAGCCCTTTGTAACCACTATCCTGAAGAACTATCTTTGGAACACAGGCATGGCTGAGTCCTTTGCTTGATGGTCTGTGCTGCGATCGAATGTTCGCTGTGGTTAAAACCCAGTGAGCTTCATGTGGCCAGTCCCTTGGAACCTGTGGGGGATTGGAGGCTGGTCATTTTTGAAGAATGAAGAAACAGAACACTATAAATATTTGTGATAGTCAGGTGATTCATTTACCTTATCTTTATTAGTTGTCCAGGGGGCGGGCAACTAATTGGTCTTTGGCAAATGACGATGTGAATACTGGTTGTAAAATTCCTCTGGCGACAGTTAAGATTCTTCATTTGAATAGAGCAGAACAATCTTTCGAGGTCATTCTGTCTTCAAAGGCTTGTATAGTTTTAATAGCACAGCCTCACGGAAGATGGACAGTATTTTAAGTCTTTTTTCTTCTTTCCTGCCAGGATGACAAGGATTTGGTGCATGAATTTGTAGTGGCTGAAGGTCTGACATGTTTGATCAAGGTGGGAGCTGAGGCTGATCAGAACTATCAGAACTACATCCTGAGGGGTAAGTCCATGACTCCGGGCGCAGTGGACGCCCAGGTGCAGGGGAGGTCTGGGTTCAACGTTAGCAACTTAAATACAGAGAGCTTTGTAAAGGACACAGATTCAGGGGTAAGGTGGTAAAGACACTGACAAGGTATGATATCTTCATGAGGGTTTATCAATTCCAGACAGTAAACAGATGACCGAGCTAATTTACTGACTTTTACCTGGAGTCTTTTCCAGATTGTTAAGAAAAAAAAGAATGTACTATTCACTAGGTTTTTTTATTTGAGAAGAGGAACACACTAAATGAGTTTGGGTAGGGCCTGCACTTAAGCAGAAAGCCACTCAAAACCAAAGAGGCCGATTTATTTCTGGGGAAAAGATATTTTCTTTACCTTGAATTATCACCTGGGGCTCTTGTCAGAAGTGTGTGCTCCTTACTGTGTCCTCCTGTTTCTGACTCAGTAGGTCTGGAGTGGGCCTGCGAACTTGTATTTTAAGGAGTGACTCTGAAAGCTTCCTCCATAATTTCACTTATAAAAAAGCAGTGCACACATGTGGAGTTTGAAGTACTGATTCCTGTTCCAGTTCATAAAGTTAATGGTCTTTTTATAGTTGTAGATTTTTCCTGCACCTTCATATAAATAATTTTATTTGATTCTGTTAAAAAAAACCACTGTGAATAGGCAGGTCAGGAATTATTAGATTTGATCATACGAAATTACTGTTAACAGTTATTGACCTACAAAAGGAGAAATTTCGTACAGTTCGATATTATCTCCATTTTGCAGTTGAGAAAAATTGATACTCAAGGCGTGCATTTTGCCTAATAATGTCACTAACCCCTAGTATGTCAGGCTGTGGCTGTGCCCAGACACTGGGACATGTCAAGACTGGTCACAGTTCTGCGGGTCCCCTCTGTATCTGTGCCTGTGATCCCACAAACTGCATGTTTGTTGTTCATATAAGAACAAAAAACCCCCCAAACCTTCTATTTTCTTTCCCCTTGAATAAAGGAAAAATACAAGAAAAGTGTGATTTAGTGTGAGTTGTCCATGGTTAGAGTTGAATGAGACAGGCAGACTGAAGCAGTCACGTTGCCATTCGTTTTCCTCATGTTCCGTGTGCCATTCAGCACATCAGATCAGAACGCTCAGTCCTTCCCCCTGTGCCTGCTCCTGGAGAGCCGCTGCAACAAGAAGCAAGAGCAACAGAGAAAACTTATGGCTTGTTAAAAGAAAAAAATTAAAGGTTGGGTGTTCAAGTCAGTGCTGTTTTCGTTGGTGTTGATAAATGCCAAATGTGTGTACGAGGGTGGGAGAGCTCCCGGCCCCTCACTGTGCTGCTCCGTGCTGTGCACGTGGCAGCTTTGTGAGTCGACTGCTTTAGTTTGCATTCAGTCTTTTCCTAGACTTAGAGTAGATGCTCGATTACAGGTTGTCAGCAGTGATGCTTTATTGATGCGTTTTATGATTTCTCTCCTTCATGTAATTTAAATATTTAGATGTAAGCTGTTGTGGTGTGTGTAGACAGATCAAACATAAGTTTTGTCCTGTGTTGCGTCCAGATTCAGCTGTGGTTGTGTCTAGAGAGATGGGTGCAGTGTGGATTCTCATCATGTTTCCATTCACACTGGTCCAACGTCTAGAATAGGGGAAGGCACGGGAATAAGGCAGGGAGAACTTCCACTACTGTTTTCCAGGTCAGTCATAATATGGACATTCATAAGTTGAACCACATGACAGGAGATATGCCTAAAATTGCAAAATTCTGAATAGTGGGTCCAAATTGTCAGTATATTTATTTGTTAATGTTTAAAGTACATCATTTTAACTTGACCAAAAAAAAAAAAAGTCATACCCAGTACATCTCTATAGAACTAACATTATAGCCATCTACGTGTTCATCTTTATTCTTCTGACCCTCGTCTAGGAGCATCTATTGTTTCTGTGGTGGTTATCTCACCTGGGCGAGAAGGGGGGCTCTGCCGGCTATGGTCAGCCCCTTTTATTAGGAAGGCAAAACTTTTGTCAGAGTGCCTTTCTCTCCCCAGACTGCACATGGTTTAGAACTGGATCACATGACCACTTGTAGCTGCAGGGGAGGCAGGCAAGGTGAGTGGCTTCCTGCACTCCGAGGGAGGCAGCAGAGAGATGTGGCTGTGGGCTTGAGGGTTATCAGCCCTGGCCACATAGAGGGAGTTAGGAAGGGTGAACACAGCACAGCTGAGAAAGCCCTTTCCAGTGAGCAGCGGAGAGTGGCCTGGTCTGAGGCAGTGAGTGCCTCCCATCGACCAGGGAGTCCTTGTACAGGGGGCAGGTTAAGCTTCATGGCTGCCTGAGGTCCCAGATGGTGAGCAGTGTGAATTGTACTTCCCTACAATGGAAGATGGTGTTGACCTAGGGAACTTCATCTAGGCTCTCTACCTTAGTGAGTGTTCATCATGAAGTTGCAGTGGTTTATGAATTAATTTGTAGTGTTCTGATCTGTACCAGAAAGGTACCAGAAGCAATTACCAAATATTTAAGTATTAGAACGCTCACTCATGACCAGGAGAGAGCCCTGTCAACCACCTGTTGCTTCTCTGACTGTGTAGAAAATGGCAGCGAGCTAAGATCCTTGCTGCAGATAGATCGTCCTAAAATATGAGGAAGCTCCATGTTTTCATGGTTACCGCCACGACCTTGCCTTCTTATTTTCTGCATTTCCTAGGGGAGGGAGCTGGGACTGGCCTTGGTTGATTTGATATTTTAAAAATCCAGATTTCACGCTTTCCAGTAGTGTCCATTTCCTGGAGACCAGAAGGCTCTCCATGTATTACCTGGAACATGAACAAGTGCTCACAGCCACTCAGTTTACTGCTTCCATGCACTTTCCCAGCCTGCACATGTCAACTAAGTGTCAGAACACTCAGGGTAACTGGGGCACTGTACCCAGGCATCAGCACATTTTGATGTATCTAACTGAAGCCCGTGCCAGGAAAGGAACTTCTGAGGCACATAAATGCAGATTTCTTGGGGTGTGACTTTTGTGTTTTTATACAAAGCAACTATTATTTTTCCTAGCCCACATGTTGAGTCACTGCTTTGTGACTTTGAAGAACTTCTCATGAAGGGTTTTTCTGGGTTGTGATCAGCTGCCGACAGCCTCTGGAGATTTGCAGTCAAGAACAACCTTTGAGTCGCCTCTTCATTTGGCCAACTGTGTTTTAACTGTATTACCTCGGGTGAGCAATGGTGAGGCCAGGTGCAGATCAAGGAGGGAGGCTAGAAAAAAGTTTGAGTTTTGTTACTCACAGTTCCCTAGGAGAGCACAGCACTCCACACAGGGCCTCTCAGGGAAGCACAGGGGTCGGTCACAAGGCAGAGGGAGGGAGGGACTGCGGGCATCGTGGTTTCCAAGGGAATGCACGGACAAGGCAGGTCAAGCAGGTTTAGGGTTGGATAGTTCAAATCATTTCAGCGGGTTCGGCGCACAGAGGCATCCCTGGTTGTCTGGTACCTAATGGGCTGGAGCGTGAGAGCCCGCTGTGGGAGGTGGTTGGACTACGGACTTAATGGGCTCCTGGAGAAGGGGAATCAAATGGCCTCCAGCCAGGGCCTCAAAACTGGGTCAAAGACAGCATTTAAAAAGTGACATTGCAAACCATAAGGAGGTTGATTGTCAAGTGCTGGAGAAGCGTGCCCTTCATGAAGTTAGCTCAGGAAAGCCTCTTGTGTAACACATGTGAGTCTCTCAGGCCTGAAGGAAACATGCATGTGGAGAAACCAGTACTTTCCTACATCTGCTTTTAGGAGTCTTTTAATTTATCTTTATTTTTGTACTCAGTCCTCTGTCAGGGCTTTTTTTCCCCCCCTACTTAAAGGCCCAGGAATCCATTGCTTTTGGTTGAGGATATATCTGTTGAGAGGTAAAGATAGCTTTGACTTAAAGTGCAGCCAAGTGCTCTCCCGAAATGTGAGTAGGCTGCTGGGAAGAGGTCTTAACTGCACAACATGTAGAAATAATATTTATCTGACTTATTATTCTTGGATGGCTATAGCTAATGATCTAAAATTTTTCAGGATGGCCAGCATTAATATAAATCTACTGTGGAATTTTGTACCTCACAATTATTCTTATGGAAGGAGGACCAGAGTGGTATATTCCTGGGAACATAAACTTTCCACACACATTACTGAGCCTTCCCTTTGGGCCATGTGCCATGGTAGACCCTGGGGTTGCGACCATGAAACCAAGATATAATCCTGCCCTGAAGCAGATCCCTGTGAGATGCTCTGTACAGCATATTTTATATGTTGCCATGCATGTGTCTTATATATAAATTGCATATACACAATATGCTTTGAGGTAGGCAAGAGAAAGAGAAAAACAGTAAGACCAGCTGCCGTTTCTGGCTGTACCTCAAGGGAAGTTGCCTTTTTTACAGGCTAGTTTTACATGGAGAAATTTGATTTGGTCATTTCGCCTAAAGCAAAATACCAATTAATCATAAAACACCTCAGTCATTATCAGAGTTATTTTAAAAGCTGAATAAGGTCTTAAAACTTATAGTGAGTTTTTAAATGCTCAACCCTTTCATTATAGAAGAAAACTGCAGGTATTTTGTTTGCCTCTATAATGTTTTTAAATATGTTTTAATTGTCAACATTTAAAAATTGGGAGATTTGATATTTTAAAAATCCAGATTTCACGCTTCTTTGGAAAAAGCAGAACTAGAATTAACTATGTTCTACTATAGGAAAAAAAAGCCCTAAATGCCACACATATTAAGGGTTCCCTTAATGAGAGTCAGGATGTGTGGTCAGATGTTGTTTGTTGGCATCTACAACACCAGAAACAAATACCATAGACCACAGAGATTTTATGATGTTAGAGAGAAGGCAGCGGAACAGAATGATCGAATGGTAATTCAGCCAACGTCCTTCATCTTAGAAAAACTGAGAAGTTTACATTTTGGCATTTCAGAGCAAAGGTGGAGAGCAGAGGTCAGGTTCAGACTGTGGGTGGCAGGGCAGG